CAAATAAATTACCAAAGTGAGTATAAGTTTAATTCAGTTTGCTCTAACGAATATGTTTCATTAACTATAATCATTTAATTGTTAAATAAAGTACCAGGGTGAGTATGAAATTTAATTCAATTCGCCTTAACGATTGTGATTCAAGAAATAGATTAACCGCAATTATTCAATCATTCAATTAAATTATTATGGTGAGAACAAAGTTTATTTCGATTCGCTTTAATGATTGTATTTCATGACATTAATTAACTATAATTATTCAATCGTTCAAATAAATTACAAGGGTGAGTACGAAGTTTATTGATTCGCTTTAACGATTGTATTTCAAAACATTGATTAATCAATTATTCAAATAAATTACCAGGGTAAGAATAAAATTTTATTCGATTCACTTTAAGAATTGTGTTTAAGAGAATGTGCAATTAACCATAATTATTTAATAGTTCAAATAAATTACCAGGGTGAGTATAAAGCTTAATTAAATTTGCTTTAATGATTGTGTTTCATAATATTGATTACCCGTAATTATTCAATCATTCAACAAATTACAAAGGTGAGTAGAATTTTAATTCAATTCATTTTAACGATTGTGCTTCAAGAGAATGTGTGATTAATCATAATCATTTAATCGTTCAAATAAATTATCAGGGTGAATATAAGTTTAATTTAATTCGCTTTAAAGAATATGTTTCAAGATATTGATTAACTGTAATTATTCAATTGTTCAAAAAATTACCAAAGTAAGTACAAGTTTAGTTTGATTTGCTTCAACGATTGTGTTTCAAGACATTGATTAGCTGTAATTATTTAATCATTCAAATAAATTACCAGGGTGAGTATTAGTTTAACTCAATTCGCTTTAATAAATGTGTTTAAGATATTGATTAAGATTAACCGTAATCATTTAATCGTTAAATAAAGTACCAGGGCGAGTCCAAAATTTAATTTGATTCACTTTAATGATAGTGTAAAGAAATAAATTAACCACAATCATCCAATCGTTCAAATAAATTACCAGGGTGAAAATGAAGTTTAGTTCGATTTACTTTAACGATTGTATTTCAAGATATTAATTAACTATAATTATTTATTCGATCAAATAAATTACAAGAGTGAGTTGAAGTTTAATTGATTTATTTTAATGACTATATTTCAAAATATTGATTAATCAATTGTTTAAATAAATTACCAGGGTGAGAATAAAATTTAATTTGATTCACTTTAACAATTGTGTTTCAAGAAAATGTGTGATTAACTATAATTATTTAATAGTTCAAATAAATTACTTGGGTGAGTATAAAGCTTAATTAAATTCATTTTAATGATTGTGTTTCATGATATTGATTATGATAACCATAATCATCTATTATTCAATAAATTACCAAGGTGAATACAAAGTTTAATTCGATACACTTTAATGATTACATTTCAAGAAAATATGTGATTAACCGTAATCATTCAATTGCTTAACTAAATTACCAGGGTGAGTACAAATATTAATTCAATTTTTTAATGTTTATATTTCAAGAGAACATATGATTAACCATAATCATTCAATCGTTCAAATAAATTACCAAGGTAAAAACAAAGTTTAATTTGATTCACTTTAACGATTGTATTTCAAAAGAATGTATAATTAACTGTAATCATTTAATTATTCAAATAAATTACCAGGGTGAGTATGAAGTTTAAATCAATTCGCTTTAATAATTATGTTTTAAACCATTAATTAACTATAATTATTCAATCATTCAATAAATTACCAAAGTGAGTATGAAGTTTAATTCAATTCGCTATGTTTTAAAGAACGTGTAATTAACCATAACCATTCAATTATTCAATAAATTACTAGAGTGGGTACAAAGTTTAATTTGATTCATTTTAACAATTGTATTTCAAGAGAATGTGTGATTAACTGTAATCATTTAATCATTCAAATAAATTACCAGGGCGAGTATGAAGTTTAATTCGATTTGCTTTAATAATTGTGTTTCAAGATATAGATTAATCATAATCATTCAATCATTCAAATAAATTACCAGAGTGAATACAAAATTTAATTCGATTCGTTTAATGATTGTATTTCAAAAAAATGTGTAATTAACTAAAATTATTTAATCATTAATAAATTATCAGGGCGATTATTAAGTTCAATTTGATTCGCTTTAAAAATTGTGTTTCAAAACATTGATTAATCATAATCATTTAATCATTTAATTGGTGATCCACCAGTCAACCAGAGAATAATCATAGTAAAAAGTGACTCAAATTACTTATAAAAATTAAGAGTCTTTAAATATGGCGTGCGTGTATCTAAAACTTTTTTTATACTAAGTTAATTACCTTTCTAACTTAAGAGACTTTTGTAGAGCTTGTCAAGACGCATTTAATGGTGGTTAGAGTGTCAAAATTGGCTTGGTGAGTGTTGAGATATCTTTAAAAAACATTTCTTTTACTATGTAAACTTCTTTGCAAACAATAGTATTGTTTGCAAAGAAATTTACATAATAAAAGAATTTTTTTAAAGATATCTCAGAACTCACCAAGCCGATTTTGATGCTCTAACCATCATTAAATGTGCTTGACAAGCTCTACAAAGTCTCTTAAATTAGAAAGATGATTAACTTAGTATAAAAAAAAGTTTTAGATGCGCGCACGCCACATTTGAAGACCCCCAATTTTTATAAGTAATTTAAGTCACTTTTTACTATGACTATTCTCTGGTTGACTGGTGGATCACAAACTAATAAATTACCAGAGTAAGTACAAAATTTAATTCAATTCACTTTAACAATTGTGCTTCAAGAGAATGTGTGATTAACTATAACCATTTAAACATTCAAATAAATTACCAGTGTGAGTATGAATTTAATTCAATTCGCTCTAATGATTTGTTACAAAACATTAATTAACTATAATCATTCAATTGTTCAATAAATTACCAATATGAGAATAAAGTTTAATTCTATTCACTTTAATGATTGTGTTTCAAGAGAACGTGTGATTAACTATAACAATAATTCTAATGCAATAAACTCGAATAGCAAGTTTTATGATAGAAATTTTTACTTTTAATTATGGTAAAAATTAACAATCTTCACTGTAACCACATTAATAAATAATTCCAATAAAACTTATTAAAATTTAATTATATATCATATATATTGCAATAAATAATAAATTCTGTAAAGAATCTTTAACAGAAATTAATTAAAAAATAAGATAGGTGGCGCTTCACACCACCCATTGATCTAATTTTGATCTAAATTTCTGTTAAAATGTTATAATTGGTTACCTGCAATTACGACTTTATTGATCAAAATATATAAGTGATTATTACAATATCCTGAAATCTTCTTTAAATCAATCTATTAAAACTAGGTTCTGTGCTACATCACACGCTGCGCAGCTATCCTAATATTGCGTACATATATGCGACTATTAAATAATAATTATAAGAAAAAATACCCTTCTGATTAAAAGTTCATCTGTTTAATTTTGACCTCAAGTTAATATCAACAATTAAAATAAAAATATTATAATTTTCAAAACCAATCTCTAGTATTTTCCTGGTTTTAGTGCGACTGCATTGCTCGGCTACTCTAATTGTACTAATTCTGCACTGTATCATATACCATATAGTTATTTTTATCAGTCAATCAAAATGTCACATCTAATTTTTTATTATATAAATTATACAAATCGACAAAATCACAATTTTAAAATTTTCCCCAAGTCTTAATTATAATATATAATGTTTTTTAAAACAAACAAGCTGCCAGAGCTTTTGTGAATCAAACAGTATAAAGTAGGGTTTCGAGGTTTGATTTGAGTTTGATTTGAGTTTGACAAACTTCAAATTAAACCAAACTCAAACTCTAAATTTTTTACAAATTCAAACTCAAACCAAACTCAAACTTGTCTATTTCAAACTCAAATTAAATCAAATTTTAAGTACAAGTTTGGTTTTATTTGAATTCAAAGTTTGCAAACTGTTTGAGTTTGAATTATACATATATAAATTTATATACTCTCCTCTACAATCTTTATTAAAAATTAAAAAAAGTTTACTTAGTAAAGAAAACAGTTTAGTTAAAAATTTCCAAATTTGAAAATTTTATTATTTAAACTCAAACAGTTTGACAAACTTCAAATCAAACACAAATCAAACTTATAATTAAGTTTTAGTTTGATTTGAGTTTGAAAATTTGCAAAAATTTAATGTTTGAGTTTGAGTTTGATTTCAATTCAAACTTAAACTTATCAAATCAAACTTTAGAACCTTATCTTTAATATTTATTGTTTCAAATCTTTTCTTTAAAAGACTATTAGCCATTGATGAATGATGAAAGAAGTTTACTACTTAATTATATTTTTTAAGTAGTTCTTTTATTTTATCTGTATCTGACAAATCTGAAGCAATTAAATTTATTGTATAAGCGCCACAATGTATATCTAATATAAAATTATATTATTCATTTACTAAATATCTAACATGGCTTATATTAGAACCATGATCAGTTACAATAGCAGCAAATTTGTCAACTCAAATTTCATTTAAAAAATTATTAATCTCATTGACCAAAAAATTATCAGTTGTTAATATCATAGAATAGTTTTTAATTTTAAATAAATATTAATAATGACTAGAAGTCTTAATAATATAATTATAAAAGGATGCTTCTGAAAGAGTAGTTCACCCATCAAGTGCTATAAAAATTATTCATAAAAATTATATTTAAAAAAAATAATAATACTATAATAATAAAATAATTTTATTTACTTAATGTTAAATTTTTTTTAGATTTTAATTCATCATCAATTGATTTCTTAACTTTAGCTATCTCTTTATTAAGGATATACTCAGATAGAGTATATCAATAAGGAGGAATATATCTATGATTCAAAGTTTTAAACTTGTCAATTACAAATGGATTGTCAATTGTTTTAAAAAGAAATCTGGTATACACCCAAGCTTTTAAAATAGAATGATCAATTTCTTATTGTCTTTCTTCTGTTATTACTTCTATATTTAAAGAATTTAATCTAATATTACTCTCAGTTTTACATTTTTGTTTAACAGTTTTTTCTTCTTTAGCCATATTATTTCTCCACAATTCTTTAATATTATGTAGAATATTTAAGCATTTCTATGCCAAATGGTGCTTAAGTTGTTGTGGTCTTCTATGTGACCAAGTAGTTAAACAATATTTATATTGTGTACTATAATGACTCTCTCCTGTATATTCTCCAACAGAAAAATAACCCCAAACTGGATTAGAATTAGGTCTGCCACAATATGTTTTTTTAGATTGATTTGAAACATCATTCTCAGAAAAGTTGTTTAAATTGACAATAAAGATAGGTGTATTTCTTGGTAATTGTTGGTTAGTTTCCTTAATTGATTCCATCATGATACAATTGTTATTAAAAAAGATTTAAAACAAAAAAAAAAGTATTATATATTAAATTTAATTATGAAGTTAATAATATGTAGTATTACAATTACAAATATTATTAATTAGTTATAGCAAGTTATGTTATTAATTAAATAGTTTAATTAGTTACAACAAGTTATAACATTATAATACTGATTTTAATTATGGCACAATGAGATTATGTGATTTTTGCTACAACCATAACTGTAATTTGTTATATGCTGCAAAATCCATTTGGATGATTTACCTGTATCACTAATTGCAACAATAATAATATACTACATTAAAATGCGTGTTAATTTAAAACACTAATTCAAGACTATATAAATGTTTTTGAAGAACCTAATTTTCTAAATAATATCTATAAATGTATAGTATTTTAAAAATATATCATACTGATCTAGTTATCAATATTGTAAAATTCATGCATCAAAAGAAGAAATCACTACTACAACCTATATAATCTGCTATCAATAATATTAAAATAAAAAATAACACATATATTTTCCTCTACGAGAAATAAGCCAGTAGATCTTTGGCTATATAGAGGCCCGACAGGTTATATTAGATCCTCATATAACTAAAAACTTACTTCTTGTTCCTGCCATTGCAAAAAATAAATAGTGCTAATTTACTTTTAATTTAATTTTTTATTTTATTAATCTAGTGGCGATGATTATATTTAAAATAAGTTATTATTATTAAATATGCTAAAAAATTTTTGCTGCTCTTTAAGTTATTCTATCTTGATAAGATTATAAATTACTATATTTGTTATTTGTTATTATTAGGTTAATTTAGAGGTGTGGCGACTTAGTATAGTGGTCTAGTCATCACCCTCTCCAAGTGGCAGATCTAGAGTTCAAATCCCATGGATGATGAATTTTGAAAAATAGTCTGTGCTATGGTTTAGAGTTGTCGATTATTGGTTGGATCTAGAAATCTGTAATCTTGGTCACACCATCTAGTTATATGAGCTTTGGTACAATAAATCCAAGAAACTGGAATAACCGAAAACCCATTTGGCAAGTCCCGAATTTGGAGGTAGCAGTGATCTTTGACAGTATTACAGGAGAGCTGAATTTGAACCGGGGCCCGAGATTGGAGAACTGAGTGACCAGGTCTGCTGGCGGAGAACACACTAGCCAAAACGCCGGGTTGTCGTACTGGAAGAAAAGGGCATATGCTCTGAAAGTATAAACCAAGAGGAGGGCATCCTTCAGGCACCTAAAGCCTGGGCAGACCAACCCTTTTGAGTTGCTAGCTAGAAGTAAAGGAGAGACTAATAAAAAATCCAGGTAAGAAAATGGTCCGAATGTGGATATTGGGGTTGTTGTAAACCAAATAAGGGCAAGGAGTATATAATGGGTGCCTAGTTAGGAAGGTTGGTGCTTAAGGTACATCTGTAGAACAACAGCACCCTAAAAGGTGGCGTGAAATATGAATACAGAAAGACAGGCCAATATGTACTAATTAGGAAGAAGTTATAGGAACATGCAGGTAAATACATGTGTGAGACATGTACTGCTCTGTTAGGTTTACCTCGAGGATAGATTAGCCAGAAATAGTTGGTAAGTTCTAAGGCAGTCAGTAATCCTTTGCC